ATCACGATGGCAAAAATCAAAATCCCGAGTAAATGATCGAAAAGCACCACAAAAAGCATGATTTATCAATCAAGGAAGAAGAATCTAAATATGTTAATCAAAATCACAAACAAATTTTTTAAGATACTAAAATTAAGGGATTGACAACTCTTGTAATCTAAGGATCTTTCTATTTATTATCTCCATTATTGTATTGTTTCCTTGTGAATTGTAACACTTTGTAATATTTTTATATAGTTGACATCATCTCAATAAATTTTATGTTGAGATCAACGATCAAAGCACCTTTGTTCTTTTATGGTATTAGAGTAAGAGTCCCGAGTTCAAATTTTTTCATGTCTCTATTTACCTCCCTAATTACATTTACTTGCTTTAGGCTTACGCTAATGTCCAGCCAAGACGTGAGAGGAAGTATTAGAGTAATTAATTATTAAACCACATTTTCATCTAATAGCTTAAACTTTGTTGGTAGTGTCCCACAAAATCTCACAAAATGATGTCAAAGAAAACCAATACGATAATTCAGTTTAACAGTTTGAAAGTAGAGATAGTGCACACGGCTTAATTATATTTCCCCTAGTAAATGAGTAGAGTAAAGGAGGTAGACAAATGGGAGAAAAGATTATTATAGGTCCTCCAAAAATCATGGTAAAATGTAAGATTTTTGAAAAAAAAAAGGGATAAGTGCTCTACAAGTCCTAAAATTTGTCATGAAAGTGCAATTGAGTTTCAAAACTTTCAAAAAATGAAATCAAGTGCTAAAACTTGTCAAGAAAGTGTAAACGAGTTCTAAAAATTTTCAAAAAGTATAATCAACGGAAGGACTTAATTGGACTAAGTTGACAAGTTTTAGGGCTTGATTGCACTTTTTGAAAGTTTTAGGACTCAATTATACTTTCACGACAAGTTTTAAAATTTGATTGCACTTTCTGAAAGTTTTAGCATTCAATTGCACTTTCGTAACAATGTACTTATCCAAAAAAAAATCCACAATAAGAGATTGCTATTCTTCGTCTCTATGGGAATAAATCTCGCATAATTCCCAAATGAAGATATTATTCTTGCATTTGTTTACCTTATATTCTTCATTCCAGTTTTGTCATTTTTATGGTAATAAATCTCGAATTGTTCCTAAATCAAAGAAATTATTCTCGCGTTAATTACACAATATTCTTCATTCTAGTTCTTTCTGCTTTTTTACTTATAAAACATAAATCTCAATGCACTAAAAAACCCCGCACACAGTTTATCTTTTTTCTACTGAGAGCAGAAGGTTTTCGTTGCTCTGTGAAGCTAGCCTCACGCGGATCCGTCCACTCCATAGGACCCATGCTGCCCAAGCCTTTTCGCTCCACCAGCATGGATCAATCTCAACTTAGAACGGCCAGGCCAGCTGAGAGCCACAGCAGTCCCGACCTGCAAGAATTGAACTCCTGTCCCACCACATTGATGGCCCCACCAAAGTTACAAGCCCGCACAACTGAGCTCACGGACGGTATCGGTAACTATGCATCTTATAAAGTGTGTATTGTCCTTACAGATGCCCAATGTGTGACTTCTATGCATAGGAATTTTTTTGGTCGGCCTATGCATAGGATTGCTTGCATCGTTTCCCTTCATCACACTTCGTGTCTCTCTGCGCACGATCCATAACTCAAAGGATTTCGAATTTTGTTCAATGGCCACTGTTCTTTGGATCGAGAAGCGGCCAATCCATGGCAGAGAGCAAAATCTCGAGTGAAATCTTGATCGAAAAGCACCGCAAAAGCTGGACCAAGCATTTTCTTCTTAAAGGCACTAATTTATCAATTAAAGGAGATGAATCTAGATATGTTAATCAAAATCACAACAGATTCTTGAAGATACTAAAATCAAGGGAATGACCGCTCCTGTAATATAAAGATTTTTTTATTTATTATTTCTATTATTGTATTATTTCCTTATGAAGTGTAACACTTTGTAATATCTTCATATAGTGGACATCATCTCAACAAGTCACTCGTTGAGATCAACAATCAAAGACCTTTGTTCTTATGGTATCAAAGCAGGAGTTTTGTACTCCAATTACATTTCCATGCTTTAGGCTTAGGCTAAAGCCCAGTTTATTCTGAGAGAGAGTGTTAAAGTAATTAAATATTAAACCACACATTCATCTAACAACCTAAGCTTTAATAGCAGTTGATCCACTATATGTCACAGAATAATGTCGAAGAAAACCAATACAATAATTCAATTTAACAGTTTGAAAGTAGACATAGTGCATGCATCTTAATTATATTTTCTTTAGTAAATGATTAGAGAAAAGAAAAAGAAGACATATGGGAGAAAAGATTGCTGTAAATTCTCCAAAAATCACGTAAAAATGGATGAACTTTGTAAAAATAAAGTCAACAAGAAGAGATCGCTGCCCTTTTTCTCTATGGGAATAAATCTCGAATTATTCCCCAATAAAAAATTATTCTTGCGTTTGATATCTTATGTTCTTTATTCTAGTTTTGTTATCTTTGCAGGAATAAATATCGAATTGTTCCTAAACGAAATAAATTATTCTTGCGTTAATTACACTATATTCTTTATTCTAGTTCTTTTTACCTTTTGTACTTATGAAACATAAATAGTTCAATGGACTCAAAAGCCCTTCACACGGTTTATCATTTTTCCTATAGCCGTTCAAACCAAACACAAAAGAAAATAGAACAAAAAAAAGAGGAAATAAGGTTGTGCCCACGCACAAAGGAAAACAAGAGGGACGGAAAAAGGAAAAAAAAAGTGAGGGTGTGGAGGATTCAGTCCATCGGACCATGGCGGGCCCGAGTGGCGCTGATCGTTCCACTGTCGAGAGTGGTCAGTTTTCGCTGCTCTGTGAAGCTAGCCTCATGTGGACCTCTCCACTCTAAGGAACCACGCCACCCAAGCCTTTGCTCGGTCCGCATGAATCAGCTCTCGGCTTGGAACGGGGCGGGCCAGATGAGAGCCCCAGCAAGCCAGACCTACAAGAATCGAACCCATGCCCCACTAAATTGATGCCTCCACCTGGGTTACAATCCCGCCCAATTGAGCTCGGCAAACAACATCGACAACCATGCCTCTTATAAAAGTGTGTATCGTCCTTATATATGCCTGATGTTGAACTTCTATGCACAGGTTGCTTGCATTGTTTCCTCACATTTCACATCTCCTTGTGCATGATTTAGAACTCAATGGATTTCGCATTTTCTTCAATGTCCATTGTTCTTTGGATCGAGAAGCGGCCAATCCATGGCAGAAAGCGAAATCTCGAGTAAAATCATGATCGAAAGCACTGCTAAAGCAAGCATGTTCTTTTTAAAGGCACTGATTTATTAATCAAGAGAGAAGAATCTGGATATGTTGATCAAAATCAAAAGCAAATTCATGAAAATACTAAGATCAAGGGATTGATAGCACTTGTAATACAAGGATGTTTGCAAATATGATTCCCATTGTTGTATTGTTTCTTCATGAATTGCAACACTTTTGTAATATATTTATGTAGTGGTCATCATCTCAACAAATTGTACTTTGAAATCAATAATCAAACACCTTTATTCTTTAATGGTATTAGAGAAGTCCAGAGTTCAAATCTTTCCATGTCTCTATTTACTTCCCCAATTACATTTCAACGCTTTAGGATTAAGCTAAAGTCTAGCCTACATGTGAGAAGGAGTGTTAGAATTATTAAATATTAAATCACGTCTTCATTTAACAGTTTAAGCTTTATTAATAGACAATAGTGGTCCTACAAATTCTAACAGAATGATATTGAAAAAACCAAAACGATAATTCAGTTTAAAAGTAGAGATAGTACATACATCTTAATTTTATTTCTCCTAGTAAATGAATAGAGAAAAGCAAGAAGACCAATGGGAGAAAAGATTGTTCTAAATCCTCCAAAAATCATGTAAAAGTGAAAGAATTTTGAAAAAGAAAAGTCAACAAGAAGAGGTCGCAAGAGAAAAGAGAGAGCAAAAGAAGAAAACTCAAACTCAGCTGGATGCCTCATTGGCACTTTCAATCTCTTAGGTGATAAATATATTGGAAGTCCTAAAACTTATCACGAAAGTGCAATTGAGTTCTAAAACTTGAAAAAAGTGCAATCAAATCTTAAAACTTGTCAAATTAGTTCAATTGAGTCCTTCCATTAACTCCATCCAATTTAACTAACAAAAAAAGCTAACATGGTTTTTTTATTATTTTCTTAATCTTACGTGATGATGACGTGATTCCGTCCAATCAAGTCCTTCCATTTTATGACTCAATTGCATTTTCATGATAAATTTTATGATTCCAATACACTTATCCCATTTTTTAAAACCAAGATGAGTGCTCTCTTTTTCTACTTTTTTTGCGAAATGTCTTCTTGAAGGAGGGATTGGGAAATATAGTCGATATAAATTCTTTTTTAGGGTTGATATCATTAAAAATTATAAATCAGTATCCCATAATATATTTAAACCAAAATTGATTTTCGTCTCATAAAAAAAAAACTCAAACCAATACACATAACATATTTGCCCTACAATAATTTTCATCTCACGAAAAATCCCAAATTTGTACCCCTAACCCAAAACTCAACGTAAAGGGTAAATTTGGGTGAGAGACACCGATTTGGGAATTTTCGTGAGATGAAAAGTAGATGGTATGAATGTATCACCAATTTGAGATTTTTTGTGAGAGAAAAGTTAGTTTTGAATAAATATGTCATGGGTACCAATCTAAGTTTTTTCTTATAATATCAACTTTTTTAATTGAGTAAGGAATGCTCTTTTTCCATGGCCCTCGAGGACGGAGGGAAAGAGAAATTCCTTATGTGGGCAGCAATTATAATTCCATTGACGTTGTTTACTAAATGATTGGAACTTGGCGCGGGTGGAATCAAAATTAATGCCTGGAGCCCACTCGGTACATCGGACTATCGGAGGGGATATCAATAAAGGCAGGTTTCCTCCTTCATCTGCCCACACAGGAAACGAACTCTCAAAGCTTCTAAACTTCTTGGCACTCTGTTACCCTCACCAAGAGCACAATCTGTCTATATTCACCAACAACAACAAAAAAAAGAAACATGAGGGACTTGCAAGGAAGCCGAGTGGTGACGGGGAACCAAATCATCACCCAGGCCACCGTGGTTGTGGAGAGGCTCCAAACCCCGGAGGGCATGCTCGCGCTGATAGAGCTCTACGTGGGCTCGGTCGCCTTCCTGCTCCTCTTCCTCGCAGCTTTCGGCTCATTGAGGCGTCGGAACAACAACCCGATGCTCAAGGTCGTGCTGTGGGCCGCGTACACTCTCTCGGGCTACTTGATAACGTACACGCTCGGGCTAATGCGCGAATCCCCGTTCCGCAACCCACTGTTCCCGCTGTGGGCGACTTTCTTGATGATCTTTCTCGGAAGCTCAAACTCTTTCTCTGCATACAGTCTTGAGGACAATGAGCAGTGGAAGAATTATGCTTGGCAACACTTAGTCACGTTCATAGGGTTACTAACATTGTGGACACTCTATCTGACCACCATGCCGTCAAGGCTGGCGGTTTTCCTGCTCTATTTCGTCCTCCTAGTGCTGAAGACAACAGAGAGAGCACTGTCGCTCGTGCCGGTGAGCGTGTTTGGCCGGCACCGATTAATAAAATGGGTCGCGGATCATATGAGCTCCAAGCGTCGTTGCCCGGATCCCAGCGAAGTCGATCCCATCACTATGAAAGGATACAAATATGTGGTGAAAATGAGTCGGACCTTACTCGAGAAAATCTTTGGTGAAGTCGGAGCACCAAAGCCAAATTCCAATATGGTTTCAGAAGACTACGAGGAGGAAGTCATCACCATAGAAAAGGTGTGGGCGTGCAAAGGGCGGCTTTTGAGCTCAAGCGGGGGTGACCGGGATGACAAGCTCAAGGATATTTGCCTCTCTTATGCGCTCTACCTGCTTCTCCGTTTGAAATTTTCGCGCTACTTGTTGCCAGAAGAAGCTCATCAGACGGCTTGGCGCTTAATTCGAGAAGGAATTCTTCAGAAAGAAGATGATGGGTCTGAGCGAGCATTTCGAGTCGCTGAAGTCGAGCTTACCTTTCTTCACGATTTTTTCTACACCAATTACCCCGTCATTTTCCAAGCGCGCCTTTGGCCGCTGAAAGTGGTGGAGCTTTTGTGTTTGATCATGGGCACAATGCTAACAGTAGTATTCCTGATGCCCAAGACCACAAAGCCCCAAGGTATTTTTGTCCAATTGGTGACATCCGATGGGTTGAGCATCGACGTTCTCATGACTGCGGTCTTTCTCCTGGTATTCATATGTGTTGAGCTTGTTCAGCTCTTTCTAATGGCTATCTCCGATTGGGCGAAACTTAGATGGCTTTGCAACTACGTGAAAAAGGAGTCGTGGCACGGGAACAAGCCCATGGAGAAGCTGATAGGACTAATATGCCGGGTACGTTTGAAGCCTTGGGAAAGGAAACTTCGCCAATACTCTTTTCTCGAATCGTACAATTACGTCCCTTCTAGATTGCTCTACAATTTCTGCACAATCAATTTCATCGATGTGGTTCGGAGCGGTCAAAAACAAGGCGCTCCTGTTGAATTGTCGAATGAAGTGAAGAAGGCTGTGTTTCATTCTCTGAAGAACAGTAACGGAAAATTGGAGAATGGACAAGCTTCTTTGAGACTAAACAATGTGTCAGATGAGCTCTCTTGGGCATGCCAGCTCAAGACGCAAACTCGTGTTATAATGGTTTGGCATATTGCTACGAGCTTTCTTGAGCACGAGCGGCCGTCGAATGAAGATCCAAACTTCCACGTAGCGACTAACTTGTCCAAATATCTTGCCTATTTGGTGGCATTCGCCCCGAGATTGCTACCCGACCACCTTTATGACGCGGAGAACGTGTTTGACCAAATAACCCGCGAAGCTCGGGAGGTGCTTGAGGGGTACAAGAAATATGAAGCAAGAATCAAACGACTGACGGAGATTGCGAAAGAACCAGAGGATCCGGATACGGTTATGAATCGGGGCGCTTGGTTGGGGAATCAATTGCTTGGAAAGGACGTGCAGCTTATTTGGAAGATACTGGCGGAGTTTTGGGCCGAACTTACGTTATACGTGGCTCCATCCGACGATGCAAAAGCGCACGTTGAGCACTTGGTAATGGGAGGGGAGTTTGTGACTCACTTGTGGGCTTTGGTCTCTCATGCCGGCCTACAGCGAAAGCCTCTTAGCGATGCAAATATGGCATAGCTAGGGGAGCGCATTCTTGGCAGCTACGTTAATTGTACTTTCGACCTACACAGGTTTCTTCGTTTACTCCCATTCAGGAAGATCTCTTGAGCGGATGGAAAACAATTCGTGCGTAGGATTACATCTTGTCTAGCTGACTTTGTTGTTTTCTCGGAGTTAGTTTCAGATAAACCAGCTTGCAATGATCGTTTCCGAGATCTTGAGAATTAATTGTATCAGCAAGAAGAAACATTGAGTGGTTCTAGAGAGCAGTTTGAATTGGGTCAGGAGGGTCCATGTACTTAATGTAATTCAGGTGACATGGCTTGCCAATATTTCATTGAGTGATCCATCAATAAATTTTTATTGTATATCTAATTTCTCTAGCTCGTCAGCCACTTTTTTATTTTTGAAAAAATTACCAAATAAATCCTAAACTTATTGTAATTGTGTCAATTCAGTCCTAAATCTTTTTTTTTGGCCAATTGGGTCCTAAACATTTTGCATTTGTGCCAATTTTGACCATAAATTGCTAACATAAATGACAGCCGTCCTACGTGGTGCGGTTGGCGCTGACATGGATAATTTTTAATAATATGTCTAGAATTTTTATTAATTTTTTTATGTTTCCTTTTTTGTCTTTTCTTCTCTTTTCCTTCTTTCCTTCTTTACTTTTTTCTTCTTCTTTTTTTCCTTTTCTCTTCTTTTCTTTTTTTTTCTTTTTTCCCTCCACCGACCCAGGCGAGGGCAGCCCTTGCTAGATCGGGTGAGGGTTTACCCTTGCCACCCCAGGCGAGGGCGACCATCACCCGAGGCCATCGGAGGGAAAAGAAAAAAGAAAAAAAAGAAAAGAAGAGAAAAGGAAAAAAAAATTAAAGAAGGAAAAGAGGAAAAAAAAGGAAAAATAAAAAAATTAATAAAAAAATTCGATAAAACATTAAAAATTATCAACATTAGCGTTGTGCCACGTTCGGCGTCCACATAATCGATTTTCGGCCACGTAGGACGATTGGCCTTGGGCAAGGGTTGCGCTCGCCAACTCAAGCACCCCTTGCCAAGGCTGGCGAGGGCAAATGCTCACCTGAGGTCGGCGGAGGGAAAAAAAAAAGTAAAGAAGGAAAAGAGAAGAAAAGAAAAAAAAAGGGAAAAATAGAAATAATTAATAAAAAATTTGAGAATATATTAAAATGTTATTAAAAATTATCCACATCATGTTGAGTCGTGCCACGTAGGAAGGTCGGCGTTCACGTCAACGATTTCCGGTCACAATTGACCAAATGAACTCAATTGGCACAAACGTAAAAGGTTTAGGACTCAATTAGCCAAAAAATAAAAGATTTATAACTGAATTGATATAATTACTTGCATACATTTACAATACGCTAAAAATTACTAGTTTTGTGTTATCATGTATTTTCAGAATTTGTGCTTTGACTAAAAATTCATTGGTTAAGTGAATTGATCTCAAACTCAAACTCGTTGAAAACTCATTTGAGTCGGACATAAGCTTGAAAGATCAAAGCTCAATCAAGCTTGAGTTGAGTATTTCAAGCCTTGCATGTTCACGTCGATACGAGCTCTTGAACTGTATTGGCTCGACTCAGTTACTCCCTTATCATAGAGTATGGCTCGATTTATCCCTATCACTTGTAAAGCAACTTTTGAATTCCCCTTTTGAAGAAATCATAATTACTGCACTTGTGAAATTTCAATCTATCGAAAGTTGCAATAAAAGAAAACGAAATAAAAGGGTTAATATCACGAAAAACCTAAAACTGGTATATTTGCGACAAATTTATCACAAACTAAATTTTTGACCACCAAAAACCCCAAATTGGTATACTTGTAACAAATTTACCCTTCGTTAAATTGGATTAATATCACAAAAAATTATAAATTGGTAAACCTATGAAAAACAGAGGGATAAATCCCCAAATTGATACACTCGTCAACTGTCACGTGTCATTCAACTCAGTAATTTGACGGTAAAATTTAACGAAAACTAACGGAGGGTAAATTTATCATAGATATACCGGTTTGATGTTTTTTATGGTAAAAAAATTAGTGTGGGATAAAATTATCACGGGTGTATCAATTTAGGGTTTTTTGCGATATTAACTAAATAACAAATTCACTACAAAAGCTATCTATTATATATATTAAGTCAATAGTTTGCATGAAATAACGAGACCCACGTTGAGACTCATACTATATTGTTTACTACACCGCCTACAGTACATGCATAATGTGAACAGTAAGCTACAACTCCTCTAAAAGCCGCCTTGTACAGTGCCGCCGCCGCCATAGTGCTGCTATAGTGACTTCCAAATGAAAAAGTATTCCGTGATTACAGTGCACCACGTCATAGGCTAACGTTACATGCATTTTTTTGATGAAGTCCTATAATAAATCGCCATGTGTCGATGACATGGACATAAATAAACAAAATTAAAACTCACTCTTTCTTTTTTTTTCTCTCTTCTCCGGACTCCATCCACAGCCAGTTCCTCCGCCAGCAGTCACCAGAGAAGTGGCCGGAGCCACATCCACGTCGACCGTCCATGGTCGAGCCATCCCCTCCGTCGTCGCGGCGACTCGCATTCGTTGTCCGTCCATGGCTGAGCCAGCCACCCACTTCGTCGTCACTCGAGGCCACCCCTCCGTGAATGAACAAACCCCCACAATAACTTGCAGCTCGTCCATTTGCTTCCCCAGGCGGGCAAGTAAAGGTAGAGACTTTCAAGCCAATCTCACTTGGGACTATCAATGGCGTAGCCAAGCCATTGAAGCATACACCACTGGAGTGAAGGTCCATCACATAAAAAAAACAAAGTTGAGATCTTCACGGGCCGCTGCATATGTCTATGTACAGATCTGAATATGGGCGCTGCTCCAACTCTGTCCAACAACTCTTTTTATGATTAGATGAAACCAGAGAGCGATGTCGACGCTCATCCATGGCCATAATTGGTGTCGGTCGGCCAGTTCTAGAAATTTGTGTGCTCGCGGAAACATGAAAATCAGAGGTCCATGGTCGATAAAGGAAACCTGAAAATCCGATGACGTGCCACGTCAACCTATGACGTGATGCATTGTAGTTACTAAATATTTTCTCCCTCCCAATGCAAAATTACCAAAAAAGCCATAAACTTATTGTACGGATGCTAATTTAGTAATAAATCTTTCACCTTTGCTTATAAAATCTTAAATTTTTTGACGATTTGTCAATGTAGTATTTCCGGTCAATTTTTATCAAAATTCGTGATGTTGATGTTGGTTGTTTTACGTGGCACATTTGGAGCTGATGTAGACAACTTTTGCTTTTTTTAAAAAAATTTTAAATTTTATTATAATTTTTTTCTTTTCTTTTGATTTCTTTTCTTCTTCTTCTTTTGCTTTTTTTTCTACTAAGACCTTGACATTCTGCTGCAATGTCACCGCAGATTGACAATGAGATAGATTGTATTTCTCGTGTTCCATACTCTAGTGCTATTAGTAGTATTATGTATGCTATGATTTGTACACATCCTGATTTTGCACATGCCGTTAGTATTATAGTCACCATATTGCAAACTGTGGAATACAATACTGGGAAGACTGTTGACACCGTCATTCATAGCAATGAGTTAGTAAGCATGCTAACTTTTCCCAAGTTTCCTTAGCACAGTAACAAGTAGAAATTCGATTGAATTCATTTGCATCTAAGCACAACATAGCAAATCCATAGCCTTAGCATTCAATTGGACTTGCTTGGTATCATTTGTATTCCACTCTTTTTCACATTTTGGCAGCGTTACCCCATCTCCATTCTTAGTTGGTACATGCGGACCATTCCTATTAACACGCCACGAATCATTATCTCGAGATTGAATCAAAGTTCTCATCGTAGCTTTTCAATTTTGTAGTTCACACTCTAAAATAAAAGGAGGTCTAACAATCAATTGACCTGCGCCCAGAACAGTACCAACAACATTTGCAGCCATGATTTTTAGCTCGAACAATTCAATCAATCACAAGCAGATCACACAAGTATTTTTCAGGCTTTGATATCAATTGTTTGCCCAGATAATCAGATAAAGAAGCCCATTATTCAACAATTTAGCTAAAATAACAAATAATTAATTCATCGAACGCGTGGTGTTTATAAGATAAAAGAGTTAAGCTATAAAAAAAATGTTTCACCAATTTATGGTGGTTCGGTTCTAAATTGGTGCCAACTCCACTCCCTAAATCATTTTTGGAATTGTGCCCAATCCACTGGTTGAAAGCTTGATTACAACTATTGGAAGACTGGGAGACCAACTTTCCGTACGCTCTCAATATTAAGAAGATACTTTCTCTCAATTGTATCTCTCTAATAAAATGTTTTTTCCTCTAATAATTTATTGCTAAATGATTACAATAGGCTTGAGTCAGTGTTTACTTTGGATGTGTGCTGCTGCCACCTTTACTCAAGTAAGAGAGTGTCTTATTTGTGATGATCAAGCTCAATTAAACGGTTCAATTTTTCATTCGAACATTGACCAGATGAATTGATCTTTTCTGGGCAAATATCCGGCCGCCTGGACTCCGGTCGCGTTGCTCGTATTACCTTCAGAAGTCTGCGGACATGTAATTGTAATTAGGGGTGAGGACTAGTCCAATTTTAACTCGAGAACAGGACCGAACTAGCATGTTCTAGGCGGTTCCAAATCAGCACTATTTGGTGTGGCTCCTGGTACTAGGGTGGAACAGGATCGAACTGACACTATTCAACACTTTAAATTTTGCCCTTTTTATCATACTGCCATGAGTATGTTACAATAATCCACAAACTATAAGAAACTCCCACTAGTCGGCGTAGGATCTCATACTGGGGCTCTATTTGTCTTAAAAAGTAAAAAGGTGGCATGTCTCCTTCCTTGTAGATTGATGTGGGATCGTACATTTGGGCTCGATTTTGGTTTTTTTTTTTTTCACTTTTAGTCATCCTCAAAAGACAGTTCCACATTGATCTGCAAGGAAAAGGACATGCTCATTTTTTTTTTTTAACTTTTAAACCATTTAGAGAACAAAAGGTTGACGTTTGTGCTTATTCCCAATTCTCGAGAAGCGGGCTGGATCGGTCAATTATAGAACATGAAAATTATCAAAAAAGTTATAAAAATCTTATACTTTTATCAATTTAATCTTAAATTCTTTTAATTGTGTCAATTGGATTCTAATATTTTTACGTTTTGTTAATTATGTCAATTTGATCAATATTTGCTAAAAATTACTGACGTGGACGCCAGTCATTTTCTGTGGCACGACTAACGTTGACGTGATTAATTTTTAAAAATATTTTAATATTATTTTCGAATTTATTTATTTAT